AGCTTTATCAAGTCTGTTCTTGAACGCGTTTGTACTCGGAGCCAGGTTTAATGAGGAGAATTTCGTATTGATCACATACTTTCATCTGAGTTAGAGTTGACGAATAATAACTTCTCATAACTGTATTAATAGTCATTATCAATGTAGGTGCACCAAGTGTTTTTGTTTATTCATAGTCGGAAAACCTGACCACGTCAGACATTCATGTGACTGTTTGAAGTTGATAAGATCTTATTATTGCACTCGGCAGTCAGTGTTATTGCACATTTCATAGTGTAATTTTAGGACCTGATTCGATGCAAAATTCCTTGTGTTAGTTTGAAAATTTAACTTTGTAGCTGACATAATGATGCAAGGTCAACCTTGAAACTTGTTTCACTAAAGATACATTGATTGAGAATGAATTATCAAAGTTATAAAGAGTCTGATAGCTTAGAAAGCCGTCAAATGCAATGATTTCAATGATCCAGCTGCCTTTTTTATTTTTCGGATCATTGGTGAATTTTTCGACTTTTCCTTCTGCAACCACAAATGTGCACCATAAATATGTGTTAAGATCATTGATAAGATTGCTACGGAAGTGAGATAACATTATTGTAACGCAGGCCTTCAATGACAACAATTCCTGCGGTTTCACTGTCATAAACTTCACTGCTTGTATCTATAAACTTGCTGTCATTCACTGTCATAAACTTCACTGCTGTCATAAACCCTTCGTATCTATCGGAAAATATTTACGGATGCAAATACTTCAAATTTGATTAATAAAACATTTCCAAACTCCACACGGCAGTTGCACTTGATTATTTTTGATCAGTCACCGTGCAGGATTGTCACGATTCACATGCTACTTGAACTATTTTAATCTTTTACACATTTTTCGCAGGTTTGTTTGAAGCCTGGCATCTTCTTCTTCTTCTTTGCAGGGTGTCCACTTGGAGTGGACTTAAAGCCGCAGGTCTGCCAGATGGATGACCGTTGGGCCTGAGAGTATAGCTAATGCCTGGCATCACAAATATAAAGGGACTGTTCGTTCGCGTTCCTATGATATTTTTCGTGTTGGGATATTACCTGGATCTTATTATTTATATAAAGTGGGAGATAATTGAGACATTTCAAAACTGGGGGCCAGAGGAGTGGACCAAAAATATAAATTTGATTTTTAAATTGGTCGAAATAAATTTAATTTAAAGGGCGCAAAAATTTGTTTCTAATTTCAAAACGAGAGTCAAATGTTCAATGAAAAATTACAATCTGTGAATAAAATAACGAATAAAAATAGCAGTAGAAAAATATAACTCAGTACTCACTGCAGTGAGTGACAGAGAGTGCATTTTCTCGTCGACGAAAACATGAAGTCACGGACAGACGGACGGACAGACAGACGGACGGACATGGCGAGTACAATAGCGCCTTTTTTTCCATAAACGGGAAAATGCGCTAAAAATTATGCAATAAATAAGTTATCAAATGAAGGAGATGTACGCTAATTAAAGAACGATTCGTTCAAATCAACATTTCACCTAAGGAGCTTAATCGATAGCTTATAACTTTTTAGATAGCTTATGACATGGAATAACAAACGCTCTGTGAGCACTTTACTGATATTTTATCACTACAACGAAGATAAAAAACCCTAATTTAGGAAATATGATTCCTAATTTAAAGTCGAAAATTTCATGAAACATACATTGAAATTAATTTAGTTAAAGGTAAAGCTAAGCCTATTATAATATTACGAGGAACTTCTAACCCACAAAATGAGGGTTTTAACGGGACTTTCTTCATTTAGCATACATCATCTTAATTGTAACAATTATTCAACACTAATAATATATTATGCTTGCTTAAATATTATTTTTATGTATTCTCATTATAACTGTTTCTTTCAATAATACATTAAACTGTCATTTGAATCTTGTTTAAAAATGGGAAAACAATTTTCTTGAAGGTTAGCAGAGTAATATTTGTTCGTTCGTTTGTTCCCTGGCACGTTTGGCGAGTGACGCCAGTTTACAACCATGCTTCAAAATCCAACATAAGCAAGGCAAGACTATTAGTAGGCCAGTGACTGCTGCAGTGTAAGCAGGTACATGTCAGTGTACGTAGGTACATGTCAGTGTACGTAGGTGCATGTCAGGTCAGCCATGATGACTGGTCGAATGGCACTGGGTGTACAGAAGTATTTTTTTTTTGTGTTTAATGACTGATCGTTGCTGCATGCAGTGTGCATGTTGATATTTACAAGTGTGATGATTGGATATCGTTGAGAAAGAGGTTAAGTGAAATGGATGTGTTGCAGCGTATGAGTTTAAGAGAATCAATTGAACGCCTCTGTGTGCGTTAAGGAAGTATATCTTTCATCATGTCATTATCCAAGAATTTATGTAGGTAAGGAGCTACACCTACGTAGACTTTATTACGTAAGTACCTTTTAAGCAACCCATGATCCTCGTCATAACCAATTATAGAAAACGATATTCTTGGGAGTGTACTGTGCTGAAGAGTTTCGTTAGCACAACAGTATTTGTGTTTCATCTGTTGTCCGGCTTTATTACAAAGTTAATCGATAATTTAAAATAAACTCTGAATAAATTACTTTTCTCCAGATCACTTCAAAAATCAGACTGGTGACACCTTAGCCCAATCGAAAAACTTTGAACACTTCCTAAAGTTAAGTAAATGAATTTTTTACCGAAAATTGAGACATAATTTATCTCCTAGAAATTTGGCTGAATTTTGGAAAAGGAAGAAAACCGCTTAAAATACTAGCTTTCTTCTATTACTTCGGACGTATTTTCGACAACTACGATACGACAATTACAACGACAGACCGCTACTCAGCCCAGCCAGAGTCGTTGTACGTTGAGCACCTCTCTGGAAGCTGAATCGAGGAACAGAGCAGGACCTAGATCAGTCCAATCAGTAAGCTTCGCTCATGAATTATATGTTCAGCGCACTTACTGAACATTAATAGTTAAACATATTTCGATTTTTTTCTTATGTCTTGATTTAATTCAGAAATGTGGCAATCTAGGCAATTGTAGTTGCACATTGGGTCCAAAACGTGTCGAAAATTAGCTTGTAAAAATTAGTGATTTAATTGGTGCCATACCTAATTTGTATTTAGAAAAGCAGTCTGAGTTTTAAACAAGGAATACATTGAAGCTGACCGTGAAGTCTAACATGAGCTCAAAGGATACCCAGATCTGGAGAGAAAAGGCGAGGGAGAAGCAGCAGTTTTATTGCGGTATACTTGGGGACCGTGAATATGATGCCTACAAATCAAATGAAATCCCGAAGCTGGAACTTAAAATTGGCATCGCACTTTTTGGGCCACCCGCAAATGTGCGCGAAGACCAAATTGAAGTTCTTATATCGAACTACAAAAATGAGCAACAGAATCTGATTAAAAAACTGCGCGAATTAATCGTCACCAAAACTGGACGAAATGTGAGGATGGCGTTCATTTGGCTTGTGACCAAACAATTTGATGTGTACGGAGAAATGCTCGTCATCCGGATACTGGGCTCAGATGGCAAAACAGTTTATTTCATCGACGACCTGGCTAGACTTTATAATGGGTGGGAAGATTTTTGGTCCAATAACTTCCTTCCAAAGTGCATCTGCTGCTACCCGTAAAACGGAGTGTACACGGTTGACAAGAATGGTAATGTAAAATAATTTGGAATTTGCCAAGTTGACGCAAAAGTTACTTTATCCCCTCGTTAGACCTCCTGTTGTGAAACCATCTCGTATAATCCATTCGTAAAGCCCAATCTCGTTGAATCAGCTCAATTACCTAGTCAATACTATTCCAACGCTTTTAATCACAAATTAATACTTCGAAATTATTTACCCAATTCCTTATTTCCCTAACCCTAACCCACCTCGTGAAAGTAACTACACAGTATAATGTATGATGTATCATTTCAAGCTTTCACTCATTTACTTTGTTGAGAAACAGCATCGCACATCGCTTCAGCAACATCCATTAGTCATACTTTATATTAGCTCAATATTTAGACGCAGTTTGGCGTACGACGTACGTAATGCAACGAGCATGTAACGCGTGCAATGTTCGTTCGTTATCGTACGCTGTTGGTTTGCTTACAACTTCAAAGTAATAAGATATAAGAAGTGAGCGCGCACCGTGATTTCAGTCGAGCATTGGGTGTGACGGTGGAAGGAGGTGAGTTGGTTTGCTCGACAATGGTGACTGAATTAGTAATTATTTACATCAATATTTTGCAAACCGTAGGAATAGGGGTTGGAGTAATTGTTGTAAGAAATAATTACCGTTTTAAAATATGCAGCAATAGTAGAGTCATTAGTTCCCAACCAACCACCAGAGCTGGCAATGATGGAGCATGGAGGCACCATTCTCATTCTGGCATTCATGAGCGATTCTACGGATTTTAGAATCGCTGCATATTTTTTTCGAAATTCGAAGGAACTTGCCTGAGTTGCATCAATGACGCATAGTTCTCATCCACCTTAAAATAGTGAATCGATAGGTTTTATAGTTTTCTAGGTAGTCACTTTAGTTTACTTATGATATTTGTTTTTATGGTATTATTGGGCCCTTAGCCGTGATTCGGTCAAATTGAATTTAAGTGGGCCCGAAACTTTATTATGTATTTGTTCTGAAATCCGAGGCAGTGCAGATGCTAACGAGGGCTGTAAAACTTTGATATAATTTGAACTTATGAGTCAAATTAATTATTTGCATCAAACAGTAGTATCGGATACTTTCATCGGAGATGAAAGTATCAATTTACATGATCAATGCAGAGAACATATACATACTAGTGATACATTATAAGACCAGGCGTGTTTTTTTTCACCACTAAACAATAGTGTCTATGTATATATATCTTATATTGCAATAATTGTATGAAACGCACAATTTATTTTTTTTTTAACAATCGTTTCTTCTGTATTTTGGGACATTCGCAATTAAAAATACACAATCCTTTCTCTATTTCTTTTGCAGATTTCGTCCAAAGCTAAACTGGTGAGCATCTTAAAGGTTTTGAGATAAAAAGTGACCAGTAAAACGACGACGGGGAAAATCGCATTTGAAACAATTTCCTGATTCGCAATTGGACCCCAGACCTCCACGGCGACACATTTATGCTGAGTGAGTTGGAAAAAAATCTAGCTAATTTAAAGCTGACTTCAAAGTTTAAGTATCTGTCGTTCCCTCTCTGATAGGCCGTTACTATACGAGTGTATCAAACATACGGCAGTTACCGGTTTGAAAGACGGAAATGAAACGAAGAACTTCGAGTCGCGAACCTAGAAGGATTCGACAGAGCATTGCTGCTGTAATATTTATCTAGATCACTTGAAATTAGTTTGCACAAAACTTGCATCAGTTGTTGAAGTTTACTCAGTTATTCACTTTTTTTTGTAGTGTCATATCAAGATAAAAAACGTGAAAGAGTTCTATTCCGTCGTAACCCTTATTTGGAACCAAGGATTGTTTTTCAAGAAGGAAATCTTTTGCAGTTGGCCATCATGACTGACTGGAGCTCAGAAGACGTCAAGGCCTGGAAAGAGAAGGCGAGGGAGGAACAACAGTATTTCTGCCAAGTTCTTGGAGACCGCGACTACGACGCGTACAAATCCGACGAGATACAGTATCTAGATCTCAAAATCGGGAACGCTATGTTTGGACCCCCCAAGAACGTTGACGAAAACCAAAATGAAGTGCTCTTAACAAACTACGAAGATGAGCAACAGAAATACATTGCGAAAATTCGTGATTTGATCTTGACTAAAACTGGAAGTGATTACGTGTGTGTGGCTTTCATCTTTCTTTCCATCAAGCAACTTGACAAGCATTACCAAATGCCCGTCATCCGGCTACTGGACAAGGATGGAAATAAAGTGTATTTCGTCGACCATCTAGCTAGAATTTACGACGGATGGAAAGATTTTTCATCCAATAACTACCTTCCTCAGTGCATCTACTGTTACCCAGAGAACGGAGAGTACCGGGAAGACGATGAGGGCAATGTGATCTTAGGTTACGACACATCGCCGAGTTGCGACTTTGGTAAACGAGTTGTTCAGGTTGCAGATGTTACCAACATCGTCGCATCGATTTCGTCCGCAGGTTTGGCTATTGGTGGATTAGCTACCTCATTCTTTTTCCCTCCTGCAGCCCCTCTTCTCTTCTCTGCTGCGGCTTGGACAGGTGCAGGTTCTGGAGCTTATTCGGTGGGAAGAAATGCATACAAGCTTTACGACAGGAGCGATCACGAGCAGTCTATCAACCCTTTAACCGACCCTGAGGCGAGAGGCTGTTGGTTTGCCTTTGTTGGCGGAGGTATCGGCATGGGATCAATGGGTCTTGTGAAATATATGTCTCATCTTGCGCGCAACGGTGAAATTGCGTCTAAGGCCCTTAGAGTTGCCTACTCTTGTTTAGAGGGAGGCAGCTTGACCATGAATGGCTTGGGAATTATTTCTCAGGTGTATGACTTGAAAAAGAAGGAAAAGGTGACTGTTATGGATGTCGTGAATCTATCTACTTCCATATTGTTTTTCACTCACGCCTGTGTTAGTCTCAAGAAAGCGAGCACAATCATCGAAGAAGTTCAGTCCTCCGTTTTATCCGACATCGAGTCTTCTTTGCCGGCACGTCGCCGCAGAGACTTCCGAGAACTTTGCAACGATAGCGTCGGCAGTAATAAGATGCAGGGGAACGCTAAAGTCATTAAGTCGCTTTCTTATGTTAAGAACCCCAATAAGTTTTTGAAGAGTGTGATGTATGTCAAGAGGAAAGCTGGGGTTGATCACGATGTTAAACTCGCCGACAAAGGGCTCATCTCTATCAACGATCAGCTCGACATTGACCCGAAGAAAATGGGGTACATGAGCAATAATTCGCGACAAAAAATACTAAAGAGCACAAAGAAGTTGCAATCAGATGCCAACTATGCCAACAACTTCGGTGCAGACATGAAACAAATTTTTATGAAAGAGCGCGTCAATGTCGACGCAAACAGGCGCAAAACTGTTTCTAAATTGGAAGAGCTGCTGGGTGTTAACGACCTCGAAGAGTTCAAGCTGAATAACGAGAAAATTTTCAAGGATCTCCGTCCCCATCAAATTGATCGTTTGGGCCAACTCCTGGAGAAGAGCGATGAAAAAGTGCTGAAAGTCGTAAAAGAGTTTGCTTCCAGGACCAAGTGTAAAAACTTCTCGGATTTCTGCAACATGAAAGAGTTTGTGGATCAGTACACGCTCAAAAACAGCGTCAACCTCACTGATTTGCCAGAAGAGCAACGATTTGGTCAGTTTCTGTCTAAGTTAACTGATCCGAATTCAGGCGCTTCGGCAGACATGCAGCTATACTTCTCTGAACTCAAGCAAAAAATTAGCGGTTTCAACGCAACTTTACCTACACCTTTTCCTAGTGACAACTCAGCGATTACACATTACTACAAGCACAAAGATGTGGGAGGGCGGGAGTTAAGCGTTTCAGAGTACTTCACAGCTCTAAAGAACCACCTCGGCAGCACAACATTGCTCACAGAAAGTGTACTCTCACAGGAGGGTAACAAGGTCTTCATCACCACCAAGGATCCTGCTACCGGTTTCAAAGCAATTACTATACAAAATGTGGGCAACCCTGCCGATGCGAGGGCGAAGATAGCAACATTCTATTACGACGAACGCGTTCACGTGTGATAATTTGAAGCATTAAATTTCCAATCACATGTTACTAGTTGAATTGAGGAATTATACATTTTCAGTATGAACTTATGAAGCTTTCAAATATTTACTTATATTTTAGTTACTAAATATAACTAATGTTCATCCTAAATACCCTAAGTTTCTCTAACATTATTCAACCTGTATTTTTGACGAAGTTCTGTGTTCCTCAATTTTAATCTTGTTTGTAGATCTTCTGGTCGTAATTTTTTTTCATACCAGAGTGCTTTTTGAAAGATTTTCGGTAAGCCTAATTTCTGTAATTTACTTGCATTGTCGTTTCTTCCGAGTTCAGAGTGGTTCCCAGCTGGGAGGTAATTAATAATTTTTTCGGGGTGATGGATTGGTAACAAAAATGAAAATGTATTTCTTTCTTTAGAACACATTCTTTAGTTCATGATTCATAACATTTTATCTATTTTCATATAATGCCTTATTGATTTTCGCGATTACGAGTTCATCTCTGTACATGAGCTGCATGCATAATCAATTTAAACGAAACCTGTATATATGTGAGATATGGTTATTTCATAAATTTTTCGGTGGACTTTATTAGCCTGGAATCTTTCAATTTTATTCAGTATTTTTTCTGATTAGAAAAATATTTTTAGTATATTTTGAAGCTATATACACAAACTGGCTTCCTCTTATATACTCGTGAAATGCTATTCACTGCTTGCTACAGAGTTGAACTTTTATTGCAACTACGAACACTTTTATCCATCAATATAATTTGTAAGTTTATCCGGCATTTAATTAATCCTCATATAACCTTAACACAATATGTCCTCTCGTCGACAACATTTGTGTAGAATATTTAGGGAGCAATTCCTGAATAGTTCTGATAAAAATCCAAATTGTATTGCCTTTGTTAATGCATCAAGTAACTATCCAGATAATTCAATACATTGATTGATTTATAATTTCATGACGTTTTAATTTCTTTCCCCGACCTTACTGACCTTGAAAAATAATCGTTCTATTAATGCAGATATGCCCCTTAGGTCTAAAACTTCTAGAAAATTTCATTGGTTACAGCTTGATTACTAAACATACTATCCAGTTTATAAAATTATATGGATAAAAGCAAAAGAATTTCAGTACAATTAATAAAATATAGGAGCATCATAATTCTTCGATAAGTCTAAAATAATTGTGCATATGTTGGCGATCGATAGTTTACCTTTAAAAACAGACTAAACGAAGCTATGCAGGAGCATATGTTCAGTCTTGAAATGCCTAGCAAATTACGGACCAGGCAATAAGTCCAGCAGCTATCTCAATCAATCGTCAGCTATAGAAAGATCGGGTTCCAAAGGCCGGATCCCTTGTGAATCAAGTCACGAAAAGTTCAAGAATCCGCAACAGGCCATGGGCCTATTTCTTCAACGCCGACACTTCTATTTTATTCTATCTGACCCGTTTGTAAGATGCTCGGCAATAATTGCCTAAAAATAGCCGTTTGGGCGCTAGATTGAGAAACTTGATAGTCGTTTACATGGTGAATTGAGGTGCATAGTTGTCGTTTACACGATAAATATATAAATAATGAAGCTGATAACACGATTAATAAGGAGACCAATTTGCCATTCACATGAGGAAATGAGAAACCAATGTGCCATTTACACGATAAATTTAAACATCAAATAGCATTTCACTTTGAGGAACTCACCTTGAGCAATTTCACCTTGAAATTACAAATTCACCTTGAGGAATGTAAGCTTTGGAACAGATGTCTGCCGGCTGGAGAAGGAGTATGCGCTTCAACGGAGTATACCGTTATACGTTGTGTCGGCGAGGATTAGTCAAAATGTAGACTGACGCCGGTTCTTGAAATTTTCTCGGTTTTTCTTCAGGATGTTGAACGCAACTAAGCGTACCCTATGTCTTAATGACAATTAGCATATAGATAACTCATGCAGTACTCAGTCTTAAAATTATATGTCCGTCGCAGCGGCTTTGCACTGTACTGAAATATGAATTGAGACGAATATGTCTTTTCTGTTTAGTGTAGTTTCACCGAAGAGATTTCGTTCTTTACTTAGGTCTAAAACTTCTAGAAAATTTCATTGGTTAATGTTTGATTACTAAACATACTATCCAGTTTATAAAATTATATGGATAAAAGCAAAAGAATTTCAGTGGAATTAATCAAATATAGTAGCATAACAATTCCTCGACAAGTATAAAATAAATTTGCATATGTTGGCAATCGATAGCTTATCTGACCCTATAGCAAGATGCTCGGAGATTGCCTAAAAAATACCCCTAATTGCCTAAAAAATAGCCGTTTGTGCGCTAGAATGAGAAACTTAATAGTCGGTTACATGGTGAATGGAGAAGCATATTTGTCATTTACACGACAAATTAGAAATAATGGAGCTGATTACACGATTAATAAAGAGACCAATTTGTCGTTCAGCTGTTGAGGAAAGGAGAAACCAATGTGCCATGTACACGATAAATTTAAAGATCAAGTTGCATTTCATTGGGGTAATGGAGGAACCAATCAACTATATAACCTACGCAATGAATAGAAAATTATATTTTTCAGCGCCGGGTACTTTTTCTCAAAGAGACACGTCTGATCCTCGGGTGCTCCGAAATCGCCTTTCCAATATCTTGTACAAGAATAATTTGCTCATCGAATTGAAATGAAATTTCGAGTTGAAATAAGAAGACGAATATGTCTATTCTGTTTAGTGTAGTTTCACCGAAGAGATTTCGTTCTTTTATCCGCCAATAGAAAATTTATTTATATGATAAACTTTGCTATTATCAAAGTCCGTACAAATGGATCCATGAGTAATGTGTTGATGTGCACCGTGCCGTATTGGTGTATACATTGTTGCTATTCAGAATACAAGTAGTTTGATTGCGGATTTTTTCGTTTCAAAAATCAAGGCTTCCAAAACACCTTATTCCCTCTGAAATTGAAATGAAAAGAAAAAATATTTACCATTTCTCATGAGAGAAAACGATTCTGAGTTCAGCTCCATCGTCAGTTCAAAATATCTAGAACACAAATACAAACAGTCGACTTAAAACCACTTTGAAGACATTAAAACATTAATCGTTAGATGAAAACAAAACAAAAAAATAATTAAACGCGAGCAGAGAAAGCTATCTTTGTACAATTTCGAAGGGATAGGAACTGTAGGCGGCATTTAAAATAGGCTTCTAAGTTCTGTTTAAAAATATAAACTGTAAAATTCGTAACACCGGCTGAAAAAAAATTCAGAAACACCGCCTGTGGAGGTTAGAACTCTAAAATCGCCATCGGACATCGGGACACTGCACTGCTCGGCATGAACGCACACAGCTGAACGAGGAGGATGCCCCAAGCAGGTTCCCTGTTATTCCTTATGCTCCGCCAGCCTAGTTTAAAAATGGCGTGATGTCATGACGACATACGCAGATGCGAACAACGAACAGGAAGTGAATCATTATACCTGAATTTTTTTGTAAATTATTCAGTAGCAATACATGAAGATATACGTGTGGGCTGGATTTAGTAAACAAAACTTTCAACACCTTAGCCATAGTCTGTGAAGCGGGATCAAAGTAAGAAAATGTACAGTAAACAGAATTCCTATTTTCGAGTTAGGGAATAACCTCATAATATTACTCTAACCCAAAATTTTCAATTTGTGTATATGATTAGAATGAAGTTTCGTTAATTTCTACTTTTCTTTTAGTCTTGATGTAGTGATTGAAACCGAAGCTATGCTTATCGATATAGGGGGTTGCGACGATAAGTATTTATATTTATTTCAATCCAACCGGTTATTTCGACACCTATTTTAATCTCATCAATCGCATGAATGAACTTTTCTCTCGATAGAGTTTTTATGTACTATTTACTGTCAGGTTTTAGCACGAGGGTCGGCACATTGAACAAGTTCTCACGCTGGCAGCTACGACTTGACAAGGAGAATGACACAAACATTAATCAAACTTCATATACTACAAAAGAAAATACCCTGCGCCTAGTTACAGAGCTAGGAACGGTGAGAATGACGAGTGCACAGGCTTACTTGCACAAGAATCAATCCTATCCCATACCGATCTGGGCATGAGACAACAACCTCAAACCTAATTACTAACAGGCTCGGAATTGTAAATTGAAACTAATACCGCGAGAACTGAACAAAGGTGGCTACACGAGAACGCTATAGATTTTATCAATTTAACATGGTTACATCACCGCTTAGGAAGAGGGAATCCCTTGACGAATCCATTAAATCTCCGCCTGCGAGACTGGTCAATTTCAGCTCTTGACGATGCGCTCTGGCGAGGTTCACTGGAGATTCAGGAAATAATTTTAATTCTGGTAGTCAAAGCAAGGGTTAAAATCCGTGAGAAAATAATAAGAGCGCTAGGAAGTAGGAGGAATTGTGCAAATAAAATGCCGGGTGGAGACAAGCCAGATGATAATATATATATAATGCATGAAGGAAACATGCGAGAAGTAATGCTTGGGTATGGGCAAGATCTATAAATATTTTATATTAGTTGAATGCAATGCAAAATTATTCGCACTGAATCGCTGGTCACTGAATGATATCCAGATTGGTCCGAAGGATCTGGAAACCTATACCAATAAGATGCTACATATGGTACAATATGAATAAGAAAACCCTAACCGAAATTTAGCAATAGGATTGCATACTATACGTAGAACTATAATTGAATTTGATATTCAGTAGTTACGCAGACAGAATTATTATCCAAGAATTCAATATGCAGAATTTTTACAATCAAGATTATAATTATTTACGTACTACCGTACTAAAGCAACAAGTTAGCGCACAATGAATTAGAAATTAAATTCACACTTATTTCACTTATTAATCTAATTCCTCTCATAAATAAACGTCCCAAATAATTTCACTGATAACCTCCCTATCACAATAAGAACATTCTCTTAGACTAAGACCAAGGATCTGCATTAATAGAGTAATGCAACGTAATGATAGTGGTCAGCATAAGCTATGCAAGTCAGAGCCTCCTACGTCTGACTGGCCACTTGAAACTTTCATAACAATTCATATCACTTGACTTTAAAGTACAACGAATATACTTCTACAATACATACATTAACAATTAGTAAATTAAACACTCACCTAGTAGTTATATAATTTTTACTAGGACGAAAGTGAGAGAACACTGCAGCCGTTTTAGAAGAGAATCAAGACGTGGCATGGCATGGCTGATGTTGCCAGAGTCTTGGTTGAAATTGGCGCTATACGCTCTAGAGCTATCGTAAATTGCAGAATAAAATAATTTGTTATTACCCGAGCTTAAAATATTAGCAAAACTATCAGATATTAAAGATATTAAGACTGGCCGCGATTAAGGGCTTACAATGATACTTCTATTTACTTTTTATTTACTCTATTTTATGTTGACAACAGATGGGGTTCGCTGGTGAATTGTACATAATTGGGATATTATGCTATATAAAAATACTGCTTCATTCTAATAATTCTCTTGAATCACTACAGACTTATGTTGTAGATTAATATAATCAAAGAAAGGCCTGCACAAGAGGAATGCTTGAAAATTAAGTAATTGGTATCGATTATCGACATATCGGTTATAGAATATTGGCATTATAGAATAAAGAGGAAACGAGCGAGTAAAGTTTTCTTTCTGCGACCTGCGAAGTTACAAAGGTGTATGCAAATTCTTTGGGATTTTGAAGTTAAGATTGAGTGTGTGGCCAAAGTTTTTTTTAAGGAAATTTGTTGATTTATCATTAAGTAAGATAACTTCGCTTATTTCAAATCATTTACTCGATTTCATTTTGAAAATTTATAAAACAGTTCAATTTCCTTAAGTTGTTCAAAATAAACGCATTGAAAAAAAAATTGTATGTGCGAAATATTATTATTGCAATTTATAATTTTTCAATAAATAAAGT